GTTGTCTGGCATAAAAATATAGTGGAATAACTGGAGTGTTGATATAAAAGTCTATTATAATTTGAGATATATGGAATACCATCTAATACTAATGCATCAACCACAGTCGTCAAGTTTATWTGTGAAAGGCGCTCCTTACCTTGGAGGACTCTTTGTATAATTTTCGTTAGCCACTCTACGAATTGGTATGCTACTAAATTAAACCCGTTAATAAACTGTGTTGAGTGTTCCATACTTTGTTAATTTTCAGAATAGTTGTATAATTACTAAAGAATACCTCGCTTTCCTTAGGCCCAAACAAACTTAAAGAGCAATGCACTTCAGATAGTAACTTAAGCATTAAAGACTTCAACAACAGCCAAAATTATATATGCAAAAAACCTATATAAATGTGTGTCGCTGTTTAAAATAACGAAAAGTAAATATTCAGATGTATTTTCCATCGTTATTCAAGTACGTTCCCGAAGAACAGATAAGGAGCGTGCATAAGCTTCTTTGTAGAAAATGGTCGAACGAAAGCATACACAACAGTTGGAATTTGAGTGTGAATCTACAAAAATCAACCCAAACTTAGTTCTTTACAAGGCGACTCCCTATCGTGCGATTTCTTAAATCTATTGCTGGAAAAAAYTATTCGAGGTGCAGATCTGATTAAAGAAAGTACAATCTTGTATGTACATGTATAATAGTGTAAACACGCTGGCGTACGCTGATAACAACTGACGTCAACAACCGCGCCGTTAATTCTGCTTTCTTCAGAATGGTTAAGGAAGCAAAACTTGCGGGTTTGGTAGTGAATGTAGGCAAGACAAAATACCTCCTGTCATCAAACAAACAGTTCTCGCACTCGCGACTTAGCACTCACGTCACCGTTAACAATCATTAGTTCGAAATCGTAGATAATTTCAAATTTCTTGGAACCAGCACTAACACGACGTCAGCCTCGTAATCCACCGCAGAATAACTATTGCCAACAGGTGCTAGTTTGGACTGAGTAAGCAAGTGAAAACTGAAGACACCCTGCTATATGATGCAGCGACAWGTACAACATGTGATGGGTCAGCGAGTTTTCGAGAGAAACTATCTGCGGAAGATTTATGGCCCTGGCAACGGTGAATACCGCAGTCGATGGAACGATGAGCTGTACGAGCCGATATTGAGGTAGTTCAGTGAATTAAGAGATAAAAGCTACGCTGGCKAGGTTCTGGCGGCCGAATGGATGAAAACACTCCAACTCTGAGAATATTCGACCAAACATAAATCAAATCAACARACACACTATGAGAAAGAATAAAAAAGACGCCGAAAAAGTTTCTTATCCATTATACTATATACATATATATATTACATCTACAACTTTGCTTCCGCCGTTTTGCAATGGATGTCTCCAGGGTGAATTAAATGGATTAAATGGCTTTATATCGATCTTGGACGTTTGTGTCAACATTAACCCCACAAAATATTTGTAGAAGTCTGTTTCCATCCCAAACTTATTCTCAACTGAAAATGTCACTTTTTGAGCCGAGTTTTCGACATTTGCGGGAAATTTAGCTTTTCTTCTTTAAGTCCGAGCAAAGTGCGGCTGAGGACCCGTCCACGCTTTACTGAGGCTCACACATACATAGATAATACTATTACTCTATTACTACCATCTATATGATTTCTATTAGTTTTTAAAGAAATATAGAATTTTTGTAAAGCAACTTGTGTTAGTTTACAAAAAAAA